CCAACCGAGGGTTCAATGAACAGCTGGGGACAGTCTTTTTGAAAAAAAATTGAACAGTTATCACCCGAACGCAGCATCGTGATACATCAGTTGAACAGTATTCCCTCGTCAACGGAGTCCTTTGACCGAGTTGAAGGGGAATTATATGTGTGCCGATTACAGATAGAGCAGCGCGGAATTACAGATTTTCCCAGATATTCATTATGCAAGAATACAAAAACAAATATAACACCTAAGAATCAAGAGCGTTACTACAATATTGCACTCACTGGATTTTAGGAGATCCGAAGGGAATGTGATACCAGTCGCCGTGGGCTTCCTCCAAATACTTTTTAAGATCAGATTCACTCCTATCGAAAGACACAAACACAATCTCAAATTCTCCACTATCTGCAAGTTCATCGTGGAAGTCCTGAAATGTATCAGTAAGCGAAGCAAGAAGAACAAGATGAACAGTATTCAGAAGTGCTACGATCTCAAAACAAGTGGTACGATAATCTTATACTCATGAAGAAAACCCTCCCACCAAATCAAATATGTATACCTTCAACACGGGAGTGAACTGACGGCATGGTGGACACCAATGAGCTGAGAAGTACAATCCTACGACTTTATCCTGAAAGTTATCTGTTTAATTAACAACGCCTAGCCTATAAGCTCTGAATTCAAAACTAGGAAACCATGACATAGAAAGCCGGAAAGAAAACGAAGTCCTTCCAACCTTGAGCACGTCTTCAGCATTTGCGCTACTACCGTCTTTCTTCTGCAATTTCACTCCCTTAAGAAGGTCAGCCATTGGAACTGAAAAACTGAATTTACTAAAGCTGTTGTTGCCTTTTACAAACGTATTTTCGCTTTTCTAGTGCAAAAGAGAGAACTATGAAGACCAGCAATGGTAGATTAGACGTGTAAAACAGCGAAATCGACAATCCTAAAGAAATGTAGAAGATTGAACCTTCAGGAGTCAAGACCGCAAAAATTACTACTATATTTTGACAGTGGCACACTCTTTGCTAATGTAACAGCGATATTTTGCACGCTTGTGATACATCGACACGTTAATGGCTAAGTCTAAGGGAGGGGAAGGAGTTGCGAAGTCGTAAACCACATCTCAATGGATGCGGAAACCCGTTCCTAGCTGGGAAATTTGATCACCCACTGTGCTATTCCTTAACCCTGTAAGAAAACCTCATCTCTCAGTATCAAAATCGGTTTTTCGCATCTCCCAACACCAGATATCACACAACTTATAAAAAAATCTAGGAAATGGCCTAAAATTTGGTAATGCCTGTTGAGGACATGGACCACTATTTGCTCCGAAGGTACAGCTCTACAGCAGAATTTCCAAATGATTGCCTATGTAAGGCCTAGCATTTCAACTAATCAGCCAACATACAAAAAAAATTGATTACAAATTAGAAAGAGGACTTTAATTTCCTAAACATGTACCGCTACAATGAGGAAATGTCATTTCGCTTTTGCAACGTCATGTTAGGATGATTTAATTGTTCTCGGTATGGGGTGTTTTACCAGCTGCTATGTTCCCGCAACCGTGAAGTGTCGAATTCATCCTAAATCTATAATTGCAAAGATAACGCTGCTAGAATTTCAAATGAAGGCTCACGTCATCTCAGCTACACACATAATGGCAGAATGGAAATACCGTGATATATAAACAAAGATGATGACCATTTCGAATATCATCAACATAAGAAAGCTCAAGTATGGGATTGCTACAAGTACTGACTAGAATTAGATGACTCTAACTTTGATTGACTTCCTAGTAGTTTCACCCTGCCGAGAAGAGATCCAACTCTTGAACTAAGAGCACAAAACGCAATTCAAAGAGTTTGCAGAAGAATAACATTTTAAGTATAACAATACCGAGGTTCTACGGAGAGAGAATTTGTAGCTTAGAACTCAATTTTGCTGAAAATCAATAAAGGCAAGAATGATTTTGAAAATGAAGCATAGTCTCGGTTTGAGAGGGATCAACTTCCAAAAAAACCCATTTTTTTTTGATCAAAAGCTGTTCTTCACGAGCTGTCAAACAAGAATTTTACGCACCCGCCCTGAGTTTGTTTCGCTTAACTAAGAAACAACCAACGTGACTAAGCCGTGGGTGAAGACGAGAGAGGATAGAAACGAGCGAGATGCAGACAGCACAACGACGAATTCAAGCCAGAATTTAGAAAAAATTGGAGACATCTGCGCAACGGAAACTCCCTAGGCACGCTTCCATGCCACTTACTAGCTGCAGACCTTGTATCTGTCCTCAAATGAAAGACCAGATTTGTGCCTATCGAGTTTTCCCTCAGATAATGAGCAATGTCATTATGGGACCGATTCATAAGTTTGAAGGGGGTTGATGGTGAGCATGAGATTTTCTTTGATTAGCGATAGACCAGTCGACGTCTCAAGAACGACTTGCTTACAGGGTATAAAATTTAGCGCTTGTGACGTGATGTTAGTGATGGCACTCGTAGCTTTATACGAAGTTATTACGTTTGGTAAGTGAATAGAAGGATCATGAATGACGTGATATACCGTAAAAGTATTCTCTACCATTGGTTTTCTTCGTAGAAACAAGTGCTTACAATTACGACTTTATCATCATTTCTTTGACATTTCCACGAGACACAATCTGCCAAGGACGATAACGTGTTTTTGGGAACAAATCACAGAATGTCTGCCACTCCATAGATATGACACTCGTATTCTCCAAGATTGGTCAACTTCAATCAATGTAAACTTGCACAAACAACCGCTGCACAATTGCCAACATCAATGAGGGAGCCTAACACGAAAACATTCCAGATTATCTCAATAAAGTGAATTTTTTCTTATGTGGAACGTTTGTAACTGGTTCCACGCCTCACCGCTTTCCTAAAACGTACACGTAATGGCTTTTGAAGTACACCTATCAAAAGCCGGAAAAGGCGCTTACGGCCTTAGAGGCAGGACCGATGGTAGGTGACATTAGGGCTAAGCCCAGAAGAGTAAGAAACGTCATGGAGGACACGAATAGCTCACATGCTTCGGCAGAATCCTCTTCTCCCCTAGGCTTACAAGGAAGCGATCTTTCTTAGGGGGTGGTGTGCCGCCAAGCTTTTTCAAAACGGTCTTTTGCATGATATAGAGGCACATGCGGGAACCACAGAACCATGGTTAATTTTTCCTGAACGGCCCTCTGAATACCAGAAAAGGGGGTCCCTAGTCACACCTTTTTCACCAGTTTTTCAATCAAAGTCTATTTGTAAGGGTTACTGACGTCCTAATCATGAATATGGTACTAATTATTCATGCTAACTCCATTTTGCGCGAATTTTGGAAACGTCAACACGAAATGCAAAAATTTGTCACCACGAGGAATCGAACTAGGGACCCCTTTTCTGGTATTCAGAGAGCCGTTCAGGAAAAATGAACCATGCTTCTGTGGTCCCCATATGTGCCCCAATGTCATGCAAGAAACCATTTTGAAAAAGCTTGGCACACCCTGAACGACCTCCCTTGTTAGTCTAACATAAGTTCTGGATGTGGTCCACTCACTATGAACTCCCATCCCCCCCCCCCCCAATGACATGAGCGCCCAGGAAAATTAAAATTGGCACACATTTGCAAGAAAAGTATTTGTAGAAATCGAGGGTACAAATTCTGCTGGGATTTACAAGATATGAGGTGATGAACTCGGAAAAAACATATAACACCAGCACTTGGCAATTCTTTTCATTCACTAGCGCGGTAGAATAAAAATTAAAAAAACTGGCACTATTCAACTATTACAAACCCTAAAATCGCAAAATTTTAATTTTCGCTGAAACTTCGCCCATAGGGGTTATTCGATGCCCTGATCACGAAAATGACATTCTATTGGCCACAGGGCTGTTATTCGATGTCCTGATTCACGAATACGACATTTGGTTTTTAGCATTTGCACTATTCAACGCAGATTTTCCGTTTTCCTGGGGCCTCTCCACTTGTACATATTACCTCAGGACTAAGCTAGGAGGAGGGAGGACTCCTGGGTGGGTGAACCAGGCAACGTGTGGCAAAAGTTGAAGCGTATAAGATCACAGGATGGTGTTATTCACTTCGGAGCACTCTTCTCCCCAAAGGCTTAGTCCTGATCGCGAGCTAATCAGTGAGAGGGCGCAGACGAGCCGGAAAATAGGCGCCAAATGGCGCAGGCGCCAAAATGAATGTATATTCGTGATCAGGACCCCAAATAACCTCTGTATACAAGTTTACAGCGAATTTGTAAAAATTAGCCCTGGCGCCAAAGTGGCGCCAATTGGACGCCAGATGGCGCCAAAATTGAATTTTCATTTTCACCTTTATCAGAGCATTGAATAACCCACTATTTGACGCGAAATTTCGGCGAAAATTAAAATTCGACGGTTCTGGGGGTTTGTGATTTGGTGAAGCAGTGCCAAAAATTACATAGTAAGATATTTCGCAAGCGGGAACAGAGGACAATTTACAACCAGATGACCAATAACTTTTTTCAAAAAAAAGACATGCTTTTGCACTACTCCAATAGGAAGAACACTTCATTGAAAGTGAAGCAAAAAATCCCAGTTGTAAAACAAAATTACGAAATATGCATATGTCCAGTCATCGATTTTGCAACACCTGGGCGTTCAGCCCGAAAAGTGTGCATGGAATGAAAGATTTCTCTTCGACAATGAACGAAAATGAGTCACACTATTGACCCATGCCTTCCAACCCCTCTACAAGTCCCACCTACAATTGGAATAGTGCCAAGTGGACGCGAACGTGGCACTTCGTTGCATAGATGACATTGGGGTGACTTTAACGGCAATACGATAGCTTAGTTCTTCAGGAGGGAAATGGGAATAAACATAATAAGCACTTGCAAGACCTGGACGCCAGATGCAGTAGGGAATCTGCAATGGCAATTCAATAGCCTTGTTCTCACAATTATTCATCTAACTATGGCACTAGGAAGAACGGAGAAATTGTAACAGTCGTGATCACAAACACAGCACCATTTCGAGAATCTTGAGTGTATTCACACACAAGCAGAAAGGCTGTCAGTGCTCTCAACGAGCAAAACTAAAACTTGGCAGGAAATCCAATCAAGTTCATAAACAACAAACAAGCGCAGTCGACCAAAAATCGGTCGCGTTGTGATGCTTGCATTGGAGCACGTTATCTCCACTATCAACCCACATGCTGAACCCTACAGCCGCTGTGAAGCGAGGCGAATCCGGGTACCATTCCAGTTAGGGCGGCATCGAGGTTGCAGGTTTCTCGCGTCAACTTAGTTGTGAACTCGAACATTCCAGCTTTTCACGCATGTCAAGTGACTGCCCTCACCCCCACCCCCGTAGAATGGCTGCACTCTCCCTGAATCGGGGTTATATTGGCTTTCTGGAAAGTCTGCCACCATAATGCCCCCTAACTGGAATAGACCCGGGAATCCCTTTAATTTCCACTCTCTCCCCAATCAAACCACACCCAAGGGAAGACGTTTGTGTCTCATGTGGAAATGAAAATGTGGTGAAAGTAAGGGAATTATTTTCATAAAAACAGGTTAGCTGGAAGGATACCCTTCCATCTGCCAGAAGTGCTCCCAAGGTGTTTAAAATGAAATGGAGTTGGTGCCACACAGGCAATACAGAATCATCAGACGATAAGGAAGAGACGAAAAAAGGGAATTCGAAACGAAAAACCAGAGGTCCTTCATAGGGCCTCCTCCTCAAGCGAATCATCGCGCTTCGTCATTCTTCGAGACTCATCACTGATCGTGAGAGAGGCTGATCTCTACTGTTT